AATGGCCATCTGTCGGGAAGGCTTTGGTTGTGTCTTTAGTCTTGGCAGAAGGGGGTTGGACTGGATGTCCATGTGTCAGAAAAGCTTTGGTTGTGTCTATAGACCTGGCAGAAGGGAGTTGGACTCAATGGCCATCTGTCGGGAAGGCTTTGGTTGTGCCTATAGACCTGGCAGAAGGGGTTTGGACTGGATGTCCATCTGTCAGAAAGGCTTTGCTTATGTCTTTCTGTCTTACAGAAAGGGGAAGGATTGGATGGCCATCTCTCTCTGTCTCTCTGCTTTTCTCTCCAAGCCTGAGCAAAAATGTAACAGTATCCAAAAGTCCCAGGCCTAGCCTTTTTCCCAGGCATTGACCAACCAATCATCTTCGTGCATCTTATTTTACAGTTGACACATGCACACTCACTGATTTCTTGCATGCTCCAACATTGATGTCTTCTCTTCCAGGAATCGATGGGCTCCTCGTCCCTGAAACCCCAGGAAGGAAAACTCGACTTGACTACTCCTACGTAAAGCATCCCTTGATGGAGTAGGAACCTCAACAGCCCCCCCAAAAGGCTCCCTGGACCTACCAAAGAAGGCCTTTCCAACGGTTTCCCGGTGTCTTCTTGCTTTGTCTCCCCTTAACTTCCAATAAAAGAGTCTTCCTCCTTTAACCACATGTTGTTTACCCTCTTCAGAGAGATCAGTGGGTTCAACTTCTGCAGATTTGACTACGCTCCGAAACACCATTTTACCTCCTGGGTGATCAATGTCATTCCCTAATTGGTTCTATCATAAAAACATGGGAAAAAATTATTAAACTGCAAAAACTTTGTCTTTGTGGGAAGGACACCATCCTGCAGAGCATTATATTATATTATATTATATTATATTATATTATATTATATTATATTATATTATATTATATTATATTATATTATATTATATTATATTATTATTATTATTATTATTATTATTACATTATATATTTATATGATTACATTATTATTATTATTATTATTATTATTATTATTATTTGAAACACGGCAAACAAGATCACTCTGCTGGCTGTTGTATTGGGTCACACATCAGACACTTCCCAAGAGTCTAGGACTGTGATGATGATGATGATGATGATTAGAAACATAACAAGATGAGTCCACAGCAGACACTCTGCTGGCTGTTGCATTGGATCACACGTCGAACACTTCCCAAGGGTCTAGGACTGTGTGATGTATTGGCAAAAAATGCATGCAGATCCCAGTAAGGTGGCCTTCTGATTTTTTCAGCGCCGATTGTTTTTAAGTGCAGGCCAAGGTCTTTAGGCACTGCACCCAGTGTGCCGATCACCACCGGGACCACCTTGACTGGCTTGTGCTACAGTCTTTGCAGTTCAATCTTTAAATCATCATATCCTGTCAGTTTTTCCAGGTCAGGAGAATTATACTCCAAAACTACAAGAGAGGAGATTCCATCTGAACATTAGGAAGAACTTCCTGACTGTGAGAGCCGTTCAGCAGTGGAACTCTCTGCCCCGGAGTGTGGTGGAGGCTCCTTCTTTGGAGGCTTTTAAACAGAGGCTGGATGGCCATCTGTCAGGGGTGATTTGAATGCAATATTCCTGCTTCTTGGCAGAATGGGGCTGGACTGGACGGCCCATGAGGTCTCTTCCAACTCTTTGATTCTATGATTCTGTCTGTCTGAATCCGGAAGATCTAGATATTATTATTATTATTATTATTATTATTATTATTATTATTATTAGCCATCCCCTGCCACGCATTGCTGTGGCCCACATGCAAGTTCTGTGTGCCAAGTTTGGTTCAGTTCTATTGGTGGGTTCAGAATGCTCTTTGATTGTAGGTGAACTACAGATCCTAGCAACTACAACTCCCAAATGTTAAGATTATATTTCCCCCAAACTCCACCAGTGTTCACATTTGGGCATATTGAGTCTTCGTGTAGAGTTTGGTCCAGATCCACCATTGTTTGAGTGCACAGTGATCTCTGGATGTAGGTGAACTACAACTCCAAAACCAAAGGACACTGTCCACCAAACCCTTCTAGTGTTTTCTGTTGGTCATGGGAGAACTGTGTGCCAAGTTTGGTTCAATTCCATCATTGGTGGGGTTCAGAATGCTCTTTGATTGAAAGTGAACTATAAATCCCAGCAACTACAACTCCCAAATGACAAAATCATTTTTTTTAGTGAAGGACATACATTGGGTTGTTAGGCGTATTGTGTTCACACTGTCCAAATTTGGTGTCAATTCGTCCAGTGGTTTTTGAGTTCTGTGAATCCCACAAACGAACATTACATTTTTATTTATATAGATTACTATTCGTCCCCTGCCATGTGTTGCTGTGGCCCAGTCTGTGTTTATGTATTTTTTGTGTGTGTATATATGTGTGTGTGTGTTGTATATTTGTGTATATGTGTGTTTGCATGTATATTTGTGTGTGTGTGTGTGGTTTTGCGCATGCGTTGTAATGTATTTTTATTTTTTTGTTTTTAAGTCTCTTCTGCTGTGTTTTTCAATGTTTTTCTGAGTGATGGTCACTTTGGCCTGAGAGGTGTGTTGTGTCCAAATTTGGTGTCAATTCGTCATGTGGTTTTTGAGTTATGTTAATCCCACAAACGAACATTACATTTTTATTTATATAGATTATATTATTATTATATTATATTATTATTCCATTATATATTTATGTTATTATTATTATTATTATTATTATTATTATTATTATTATTATTATATAAAAGCACGATTTAAAATGAGTTTTGTTCCTGGGTTATCAAAGTTATTTCCTAATTTGTTCTATCATAAAAACACCCAAAAAAGTATATTAAACTTGAAAAACTTTGTTTTTCGAGGAGGGACATCATGCAGCACATTATATTATATTATCTTTTTATATTATATTATTTTTGTATGACATAATTATATAATTATAATATATATTACTACTACTAATTATTATTATTAATAATAATAATAATATTAATATTATTATTCTATAATAGCACAATGTACACAATTTTTGTTCCTGGGTTATCCATGGCATTCCGTTATTGGTTCTATCATAAAATATGGGGAAAGTTTATGAAACACAACTGCAGAGTCCACTGTAAACCCTGCATAACAGATTCCTAAACATGTCTAAGAAGGCACTAGGTCAGTGATTCTCAACCTGGGGGTCGGGACCCCTGGAGGGGTCGCGAAGGGGTGTCAGAGGGGTCGGCAAAGACCATCAGAAAACACAGTATTTTCTGTTGGTTATGGGGGTTCTGTTGTTGGAAATCTGGCCCAATTCTATCATTGGTGGGGTTCAGAATCCTCTTTGATTGTAAGTAAACTATAAATCCCAGCAACCAAAACTCCCAAATATCAAGCTCTATTTCTCCCAAATTCCACCAGTGTTCACATTTGGAAATATTGACTATCTGTGCCAAGTTTGGTCCAGATCCATCATTGTTTGAGTCCACAGTGGTCTCTGGATGGAGGTGAACTACAACTCCAAAACTGAAGGTCAACGTCCACCAAACTCTTCTCATATTTTCTGTTGGTCATAGAGTTCTGTGTGCCAAGTTTAGTTCAATTCCATCATTGGTGGAGTTCAGAATGCTCTTTGATTGTAGGTGAACTATAAATCCCAGCAACTACAACTCCCAAATGACAAAATCAATCCCACCCCAACCCCACCAGTATTCAAATTTGGGTGAATCAGGTATTTGTGCCACATTTAGTCCAGTGAATGAAAATATATTCTGCATATCAGATATTTACATGATGACCCATAACAGTAGCAAAATTACAGTTTCGAAGTAGCAACAAAAATAATTTTATAGTTGGGGGTCACCACAACATGAGGAACTGTATTAAGGGGTCGTGGCATTAGGAAGGTTGAGAAACACTGCTGTAGATCTAAGAAAACTATGTCTTGATTTAAGTCGTTGATGTGCTGGCTGATACCCAAACAGGGGATGAGCTGGAGATATCTCTGCCTTGGTCCTTGAGAGAAGCCTCCTCGCAGGATTGCAAGACATCCGGGCGTCCCCTGGGCAACGTCTTCGTAGACGGCCGATTCTCTCGATCCAGAAGCAACCAGAGACGACTTCCTTGCAAGTGAACCAAACAGAAAGTAAATAAACTTGGCGGGCGAGCAACCCTAAAGGAGTGAATGCTGCACGCGGGAGGCGCGCGGGAGGGAACGCGCCTGCGCAGTGGGCGCGCGCTGCTCGCTTCAGCAGCCTTTGCCTCGCCTCAGCCTCGCCTAGCTTGCCTGACTGGAATTTCTGGCCCGTCCCTTCAGGTAGCAGCAGGCCCCGCCTGGGCGGGCTCAGGTATTGAGGCCAGTGGCGGACCAGAAGGAGACCAGAGGGAGACCCTCAGCCTCGCGCGCAAAAGGAGAAAAGTTTTCCTGGGAGTTGAGGAGAGGAGGAGGACCCGGCGAGAGGCGGAGCGGGGGGCTCCTCTCCTTACTCCCTCCCTCCCTCCTCCTCCCTTGGAGTTGTCATCCTCACATTGCAACAGTCCTCGGCAGGGCGAGCAGCGCGGCTGAGGCGAGGCGAGCGCCTTCCTTCCTCCTTCCTTCCTTCTTTCCTTCCTACTTGGCGGAGATGGGCTCGCGGTGGCTGTCCTGCGGGGCCCTCCCGCTCCTGCTCCTGGCCCTGGCCGCCGCGGACGAGAAGCGAGGTGAGGAAAGCGCGCCTGAGGGGAAAGCGAGGCCGGGAAAGGGCGGGCGCTTGAGCAGAAAGAGGCCGGGGAGACTACTCAGAGGCATGGCCCTGCTGACAGGCAGGCATGGGCAAACTGTGGCCCTCCAGGTGTTTTGGACTTCAACTCCCACCATTCCTAACAGCCTCAGGCCCTTTCCTTTTCCCCCTCAGCCGCTTAAGCGTGAGGGGGAAAAGGAAGGGCCTGAGGCTGTTAGGAATGGTGGGAGTTGAAGTCCAAAACACCTGGAGGGCCACAGTTTGCCCATGCCTGCATCCAGGTTGTGCAATAGTTTTGTTTTGTGATTTTAACCCTCGTATATAATGTGATTACGGGTAGCATTTGATTTCGTTATGCTAAGGAGTGATTTCTCAGTTAGAAACCAGAAGGGGAGCCATCCCATCAAGACTTGGCTTGCAAAGTAATACAGAATGTCATATAGTAATATAGCATTTCGGATCTTTCCAAACAGCGCATAGTTTTTTTGTTTTTGCAATTCATTTTTATTGGTGAATGACATGGGCATAGACAAAATGTTGACATCTATATAAATAAAAATGTAATGTTTCTTTGTGGGATTAACAGAACTCAAAAACCACTGGACGAATTGACTCCAAATTTGGACAGCATACTCCTAACAACCAAAGGAGTGATCATCACTCCAAAAAATTTTTTGTCATTTGGGAGTTGTAGTTGTTGGGATTTATAGTTCACCAATCAAAGAGCATTCTAAACTCCATCAACAATCAAAGAGCATTCTAAACAATCAAACATTCAAAGAGCATTCTGAACTCCACCAGCGATGGAATTGAACCAAACTTGGCACACAGAACTCCCATGATCAACAGACATATTGGAGTGTTTGGTGGGCATTGACCTTGAGTTTGGGAGTTGTAGTTCACCTACATCCAGAGAGCACTGTGGACTCAAACAATGATGGATCTGGACCAAACTTGGCACAAGCACTCAATATACCCAAATATGAACACAGATGGAGTTTGGGGAAAATAGACCTTGACATTTGGGAGTTCTAGTTACTGGAATTTATAGACTTCTGAACCCCACGAATGGCAGAATCGGGCAAACTTCCCACACAGAACCCCCATGACCAACAGAAAATACTCAAGGCCATCCAATCCAACTCCCTTCACACCGATGCATAGTTTTTATTATTTTTTTGTTTTTGCAATTCATTTTTATTGGTGAATGACATGGACATAACATGGGCATAGACAAAATGTTGACATTAATATATATATCTCTATATAAATAAAAATGTAATGTTCGTTTGTGGGGTTAACAGAACTCAGAAAGCACTGGACGTATTGACAAGAAATTTGGACACGATACACCTAACAGTCCAACGAGTGTCCATCACCCCTAAACACACACACACACAAAACCCCAGTGGAACAGACTTAAAAACTCAAAAAATACACTATATGTACACATATACACATGCACACACATATACACATACAAGCACACACATACACACAATATGGATGTACACATAAACACAAATACACACACACACATATATATACAAACACACACATATATATACAAATATATACACACACTTAAACACATATATACACACATACAAAACACATATACACAGACTGGGCCACAGAAACGCATGGCAGGGGATGGCTAGTGTGTATGTGTGTGTGTGTGTGTGTGTGTATATATATATATATATATATACTAGCTGTTCCTGCCACGTGCTGCTGGGGCCCTGATGGGGGTTCTGGGGGGGGGGGGGGTTGGCCCATTTCTATCATTGGTGGGGTTCAGAATGCTCTTTGATTGTAGGTGAACTATAAATCCCAGCAACTACAACTCCCAAATGACAAAATCATTTTTTGAGTGACAGACATACATACATTGGGTTGTTAGATGTCTTGTGTCCAAATTTGGTGTCAATTCATCCAGTGGTTTTTGAGTTCTGTTAATCCCACAAACGAACATTTCATTTTTATTTATATAGATATATATATACATACACATACTGCACTGAGCCTCCTGCAGGCTGAGAGGGGCGGTATATAAATGTAGCAAATAAATAATATTTATATACATATACATATAAACACACACATTAATCAAAGATAAAAAGTCATTGACATGACTGCAATAGCTGGTTTCTATTACAGTGAAAGTAGGTGAACATGGTTTAAAAGAAAAGTAGGAAGTGAAGAATAGGGGTGAAAGAGGGAGGAGGGGGAAAAAAGTAAGGGAAACCAATATCAAACATCTATGTATCACATATACATATAAACATTATAAATGTTTAAAATGTTTACTGATGCATAGTTTACAGCTCACTGCTTTAGTAGGAAGTCTCACGTGAGATTTCACTGCTTCCTAAAACGGAAGAGAATTGCAAATCTTTCTAGGCTGGTGGAACCCATGCCCGTCCTGCCGTACTTAGATCTGAGTTTGAAGGGAACAAAACTAAACTGAAAAGAAAAATAAGACCGCATGGAATGTCCCCATGAAGAGAAAATCAGAAACCCTTCAGTCTGTTTATCCTTGTCGCCTGTGCCGTCTGCCAGATGGCAATAATTCCAAAAAAGAATATGCCGGGTGAGATGGATCCCCAAGAGTGCTCTGAGGTTCTTTGAGGCAGCGTGAATTATAAAGGGGAGAGGGCAAGTAATGATTCACTGTGCAGAAGTGGTGACCCCTTAGAGTGCCTTCCTATCTGCCACTGTGCAGTTACCAAAGCATGCACAGATGCAATAGGTTAGGACACTCTCTATAGCACAGCAGTTGAAAGTCACAAGCAGTTTTTCATTCAGTTGATGGTTCTTTAGGAATCCCATCAACCCAACTTGAGATGGAGGTGGAACCAAGAGGAGGGCTTCTCCTGAAGATCTCAAGGCCCGGGCTGGTTCGTACAAGGTGATGCGATTGGCCAAATAGCCTGGACCTGAACCATCTAAGGCTTTAAAGGTCATAACCAGCCCTTTGAATTGTGCTTGGAAACAGACTGGCAGCCAGTTGAGCTGCTTTAATAGTGATAGGATATGGGAAGAGTTGGGAAGTGGGGGACTGTCCTGTTTCCTCCTCTTTCTTAATTAATCTGATTGGTGATGTCAGGCTTCCTGATTTCCTTTAAGAATGGGATCAGGATTATAAGAAGTCGTAAAGTGGTTGTTGGGACTCCCACTTCCTGTAGTTACAAACAAAACTGTCATAATATCAAAAACAGATCTGGAAAGAATAGGAGCAGACTTCTTCTGAAACTGGAATGTTATCCACAGTCATACATGGGGTTCATTCCGAATTTATCTTAGAATCTTATGTTTTTCTGATTCATTTCTCTGATGAGCTCTGAAATGCTTATACCTTAAGTAACGTTATTGGCACATGTGCCATGAGTTTCTGCTCTGTAAGGGACTTGCCTCTTTGTCTAGAATTCATTCTCTTAGTTCCTCTTCTTGTGTGTGCTTCATTCTCTTTTTTTTCTTTCACAAGCCTTTGAAGCACCAATAGAACTAACAACTTTGGCACAGGAGAGAAGTTTTGGTATTTACACGGTCCATGTAACAGTCGGATGTGTCAGTTTCACAAGAACATACATGCCCTGCGAAGAGGTTACTGTCTAAAGATTTCCATCCCCTTCCTGTAACTTGGGAAAAACCAGCAGTGATTCATTCATAGGAATAACAGTGCCTAGTAACTAGCATTCCTTACAGATGGGAGACGTAACAATTGATTGTGCATTTGCTTGATGCGTTGTTTCAGAGGTTCCCTTAACTATCAGGTGCTATTTTGTGCCAATACAAGCACAGTGTAGTTAAACAGAATCAGGAACTGCTCACCGTGAGACAATTTCTTTGCAAAGTCTTTTTTTTTAAACACTTCTACATGTGTGTGTTTTCTCTTCCCAAGTAAAGTAATTTGTCAGTCTTTATGATTTGGTGCTATGTCAACTAAACTTACTTGAAATTTTACCCCATAGCTGTATCGCTCCTTACTTTAACACCTGTGAAAAATAAAATATTCTTTTGTTGTTGACAATCCAGTTTAGAAATTGGAGTGGGAATGGTGTAAAGAAGTTTGGGAGTTTGTCTTCTAGCCAGTAAATGGTTTTCCCTCTGCCTCTTTCTTTAACTTATGTGAATTTTGGAGAGCAAGCAGCGAGCTTCAATTCCTGGCAAATCATCTTTGTTTTGGAAATCTGCCAGAAGGAGAAAAATGAAGATTTTTCTCTTTCGTTCTTTCCCCTTCTCACTGCCTCTTTCCTGAAGGGGGAAAATGTCTGATACATGAGCAAAAGCAATTTAAGTATTTCATGATTCCAGACAATGAAACAATCTTTGGAAAGAGAAACGCCTCTCTGAAGAGCCTAATTGCACAATCTTTAAATTGTTCTCCACTCAAAAGAGCAAGTCCATACCTGTTGGTGATGTAATTTGGACAAGGTTGTGGTTTTTTTCCCTCTATTCCCTTTTTTGGGTAGACTCACATCCACTTTATATTTTTCAGATAAAACTATTTTGAAGCATGGGTAGTCTGAGTTAAATCCTTAAAGGAATAAAAAGAAATTGAAAACAAAACCTTTAGAATTATGTATATTCAGTATAATCCTAAGGAATAATTAGTTGGCAATCTCTGTTGTTAATAACTTCCCCATACCAGTACTATAATTGAATGTAGACAAACATTTTAATTGTGAAATTAAATTGTTTGTTTAGATTTAACAATTGTAGGCTTTCATGCACTGGTATAGATAGCAAATTTTTCCTGATCTTCACCATTCTCTGCTATTAGGGAAAAGATAAGGTGTATTGTTTTTTATTGTACCTTGCTTCTGTAGATACTACTCTATATGGTGTAGGTGTTCCTAAAGTTCATATAATAGATTAGAGAGTGTCACTCATCATGCTTGAAGAATGTGTCTTTGGCCTGAGGAGCTTAACATCTCAATTTCAACAGCACCAGGAAAGAAAAAGATAGGAACAAAA